CCCCAAAACCCCAAAACCCCATGATTATCATATACCACATAATCAATAATTAATTTCAATTTATCCATTGTCAATATTAAAATAAAAACAATCAAAAAGCAAAGTCTAATATAAATATTCCAAAAGCTAATACCCACAATTAAACTTATAAAAATGTGCTCCCAGTGCAAATTCTGGGATTAGTAGAGCATGAAGCTTTGAATTCAGGCTAGTTTCCTGGTCCCCAGCAGCCTATTATGTAAGGGTGAAACATTGTAGCTACATACCCATAATAGTTGCCTGTGAAATATCTTCCATTACAAACGTCAACATCGCAAGGCTACCAGAATGACCCAGGACTTTTGAAAGGGCCATAGATCACTCTTCCATCTCTAGCTATACCAATAAGAGTTTGTTTTTAAACAGATTATGGGGTATATGTCTTAATATGCTTTTGTGGGTCAGTGCTGCAGAATAGATAGTTTTAATGATTGCAACTGAATGCATATTTTTTCAAAGGAGATTAAGGATACATGCAAGGGGAAAACATTCTATACGAATAGGTGTTAAAATCCTCTGAATTGCCATAGCATATGTCTAGCTCAAAGTACTTAACTTAGGTTCTTCTATTATATGCCTTAGGGTAAAATCCATCAAAACCTTCACTACTTATTCCGTTCGTCAGAAATACTCCATTAAGAGCTACCCCTACAATATAATCAGAATTTCTCAAATTGCTTCTTGGGAAATCAATTGAATTATAATCCCATGAAGATTGAGTGATTTAACTATCAATGTACAACTCCTCACTATATCTAATGTTTGAATCTAAAAATATAGATCTGAATACACCCTAAGCACATAGGTAGCTATCCAGTTAATACTAACTCTCTATCAAAGTTTAGTTGAAATCCTTTGTATCAGGTTTACCCAGAGCAATGAAAGTATCTTCTGGATGAACATTGAAATCAACAGTAAATTTGTATTTATGACTAAATTAGAAATCCAAGCTATCAGAGGGATAGTTAGCATCTCCTCTGTTGTAATAGCAGTTGCTAGGCATGCCATTAGTAATCACAGTTATCTAAGTCTTCAGACTATTTGTCGAGCATTTTACCTGTAGAAATCTGTTCCATGAACAGGAAATTCGTCTGATTCCATCTGGGCAGATCCCATCAGTCTAGCAAACAATATTTTCATATATAAGATTGTTTGAGCCAGTTGGTGAGCCATCACTATCCTAAGTAGGGTAAAAATTACTAATGAATTCTTCGCAATCAGCAAATGAGTTAGTAAATTCAGCACAGCATCTTGAGGAAAATAATAAAATGGCACCAAATAAAAAGAATTAAGCACTTTGGAATCCGATAACTTTCATTATTTTTATTGAGCTTTGTGATTTATTATTTATTTATTCATAAAATAAATCATCTATTTTTCCCAATTCGCTTCTCATTTTACAACTCGGGGTTTTGGGGTTTTGGGG